TTAACTGCAGACCGAACTCTTTTATATATCACCACATCTCGTATTTTCTCCGACATTTGGATCTTTCTCGCACTTTTCGATACGCTTCTCCACTTACGTAACGTCCTTTTTATCAGCTTATTAATCCGTTTTTTAGGTCAAACCGCGTGTTTTCATCGCGAGAGAGTTTACTTTCTTATTTTCATAGCGTTAAAATTAGCGCGCCCGGTTAGATTAGATAGCGAGCGGTGGCGCTATCTTATTATTACTGTCGATGCTCGTCGTTGTCGCGCGACTATTCGCGTTATTCGAAAGAGCGCCCGTCTGTTGTCTTGTGTGCGCGCGCGCATGTAAACGAGATAACCAAGTAGAAAGCCACGTGCTCCGCTCCGAGCGGAAGACCCTTTTCCTCCTTAATCGGCGTTGCTTTTTTAGCCCACGGCGGAAGTCGCGCGAACTTCCGGCATGCCACACAAATTGGGTGCGACTTGGCTCTCAGCCTCTCTAACTCGAGCTTTCCGCTCGTTAAGCCAAGGCTAATAATCAGGCGCCTTCGCGGGAATCCGGACGGCGCTCGTTCACGCAGTTTCGCTTCCGATCACACGAGGAAGTTGCGACTGCTCGCAATGTGTTTTTTGCCGTCTATGGAAGATAAGGCGACAACAGACGCGCTCGGTTCGAGCTATAATTAAATGCTCGCTCGTCGGAGGGAGGGGGAGAGAGAGAGAGAGAGAGAGAGAGAGAGAGCGAGTGTGAGAGAAGGCGGGGGGGGGCGAAAGAGAACGGTAGCGCTTTGGCCGATTAAAGTAGCTTATTTTTTCAGAAAGATTAGTTAATAAATGGGCTGGTAACTACTCGGTGCCGGCGCAGTTCAAAAGTCCCGATCACAACGCATCACACACATACACGCACGCAAACTTACCTACCCTATCTCCTAACCCCTACCGCTATGACTCGATAATGCAAATGCGACTAGTGCTTCGGTAAACCATCTCTTCTAGTGATTCGCGATCGCTAAGACAACTGGCTCTCGTTACACGTCGACTGTGTGCGCTTGCTGTGTGTGTCGTACGAGCCCCCCCTACTCCTCGTTTGTCTTTTTCTCTTTTATCTTTTTTTCTTCTTTTTTTTTTGTCGTGTTCGTCGTCGTAATGAAGCGACAGGAACTGCAAAAGCGCGCTACCGCCGTTGCGCCG